CAAGGGCTGGGTCCTGCCACCATAGGCATACGAGGGCGGCAGCAAGGCGGAGAAGGGGGGCTCCGCGCACCGTGGGCGGCAACGCAAACGCTGCGCTTCGCTTTGCGTTTCACGTTTTTGCTCCACTGTGCGCAGTCGCCGTCGCCGCCGAAGCAGCTCGTCACAGGCATCAGGCAGCGGGCAGAATGAACGATTTGTGTGTTTTAGATTAAAATCAAAATAAAGCTCAAAGCGGCCGACACTGCGGCTCGGGCAGGTACCCCTGTACCTGTTGCCTGCCTGCCCACCGAACCTTCCACTGGCCAATCGCCTCAACAATAGCGGCATCTCTGTCACTCAGCATGTGTGTGCATGCGTGCGCGTGTGTGTGTGCGTGTGTGTGTGTGTGATTTGTCAAAACTGTTACGATCGCCAAATTGCAGATAAGCTACGGCTCGAAAGCAACTCCAGAAGAATCCAAGCCGCCTCTATATAAATATATAAATTTGTATACCCCGTGTCAATACAGTGGGTGATAAGGGGTATGCCAAATGGCACTTCATAAGCAGCAAAAAAGAGATTCAGGAAAGCATCATTATATATTTTTACAAGTAAACAAAACTGTTTTTAATCTATGTTCCAATCATCATTTACAGGGTATATTATACAAATATACAACTTTGTATATAAAACAATTTTCGTGTACAGGTAATGTAATATAAGTAATAAACCTTTAAAGCTATATTTCACTTCATTTTTACAGGGTATATCGTGGAGCAGCATTCTTGTTTCAACTACCTATTCGCATGGTATTTTATTTATATATACATTTATTTATTTATACATTACAATCAAAAGCAATTCATTTGTAAATATAGCTCTCAACTTTCTTTTACAGGGTATTTGGCAGTGCTGCACTTCTGACCGCCTGCTCTCCATGCCGTACAGCTATTGTGTTTATTTGGAGTTTCGTCATAAACTTATTGAAGATCTTAATATCACATCGCATTCAAATTTGTTGGAACTTTCGCAGCTAATTGGCCAGGCGCTGGCAATCAAAAGCTGATCGCTACGACGGCCCTATCTCTAGGCGAGCATCGCCGCAGCACTGTTGATTGGCCCCGTTCCTGTTGTCGCCGCCCGCTCGTTGACTTGTGTGTCAATAATGTCAAACAGAATGTCAACAGGCGCGTCGCCACGCGTCAGGCACATTGCTCTATCGCACCAGCACCCGTACCGTACCCGTACCCACACCCGCGCCCACGCCGCACACCCCTCGTGCCGTCGCCTTCAGTCGCGGCACGATCGCTGGGTGCCCGGACCCAGGCACAGGCACAGGCAGAGGCACAGCCACAGCCACAGCCGAAGGCCCAGACACAGGCACAGACCCAGATCGAGAGCAGCATTTGGATGGTCGTTGGCTCGTTGGCTCTCTCATTAACATAATAAGTAAAGTCAACAATGAAAATTGTTGTCTAAACAAGAGGCGCGCGCAGCGTTTTCAATGAACGCCGCTGAATGCAGCGCTGCAGAATTTATTGAGGCTGTGGTAAATATTCGGGGCCCGTTCAAAAGAAATCAAACAGAACGCGGCAAGTAATTTGTTTATTTGGCCCAGGGCAATAAAATGAGTAAGCAGCAGTGAAAGCCTCAGCCAGCGCAATCCGATTCGACTCTACAATATCGACAAAAGGCCAGAAAAAAACCAACAACAACAGCAACAACAACAACGAAAACAAAAAACAAAATAAAACACCTAAAACAACAGGCGCCAACAAGTTGAGAATCAACTAGAATGAACTATATCAAAAGTGATCAACGGCAGATCGTCGTCTTCTCTATATGGAATATGTGGAGTTAGTAAATCAAATTGAAAGCTGATCAAGAGCAGATCGTAGACATATCAACTATATATGTATATCAATCAAGGAATTCATTAAATTGAAAACTAATCAGCATTATCGATTGACATATGCATGTTAAGCTGACTACATGGATATATTGATAGGCAATCTATATGTAGGTCTTATAGAAAATATACTTTAGTTACTTGATCAACATATACCTCTGCTATGTTCCTATTCCAATGAATATAATGATACAAAAAATATACTTCGATCTTATACAGGACATAGTTACTTTATATACATGCATATATCTCTTCTAACTGTATTCCTAATTCTTCCGTTGGGAATCCCTATCTTCTGCACATCATGAGAATAACACATCCTTGACATTCCCAGTCATCTTTGACTATTTCCTCTATTTTTCAAGCTGTAATGCTACACTTTGTTTTCTATTAGATCATGTTTTCTTTCGCTTAAACTAAGTCAAAATTTGCTTCGAAGTTATATAAGAAAATATATAAAGTATTTATTAAATATACAAGAAATATTTACAGAAATAATGGTTTATAGTAGCAAAATATATAATATCTAATGCACTAATGCATTGATTGCAAGGATCACATAAATGAAATTTTGGAAACGTAATACACGTAGATCAGTAAAATAATATTTATTCTTTACAGTGCTTTAGATTAACTTTAATTTGGTATATTTAATTCTTATAAATTTTGGCCAAGTATTATTTTTAAATTTTTGTTTTTAAATTAGGAGATCTAGGGTCTCTCAAAGGATGTTTTGATTCGGAGTAAACAATGTCAAATATCAGGCAGTGAAAGCAAGGCAAAGTAAAGCTTTAAAATACGTTTCAAAACAGCTGAAAAGCAGTTATTCAAAAACCTAACTTAACAGTCATTCATATAGGAATTCCCACGCTCCACATTAAGATAAAGTAAAGATATCCCAAAATACTCCACTCAAAAGAGTTTTGCTCTCTGTTCTCAATTTTTCATTAGCGTGAGGGAATAGAACATCTTCTAGTAAATAACTATCATTGTATGACGATTCATAATACAAGCACAGAAAATCTCATAATCAATGGCAATCGATTAATTTCCCATGCAGCCCAATGATCCAGCAAATGCAACAAATTCAAGAACTAATAAAAATGAGGTAACAGAAGAAAAAAAGATGAGAAAAGGGTAAGATACAATATGGACTGGGTCACGTTCGTATACTCCACGACTGCGAGTTATTGGAAGAGCAGAGAAGAGCGTATTGTGTGCAGTGATTCGATGATTATTTTCATAGAACTCGTATATACTAGATGCAGATGGATGGATAGATAGGCCACTGCTGGCCATGTCCAATGTTGACAAATCGCTTGTAATAAGTCAAAACAAAGAGAAAGAACTGCGTCGACTCCTCGAAGGTTTTTCTTTGCCATGGATTTATGGATAGGCCGCCTTTCTTTCCCATTTCCCATTTCTCTCTCTCTCTCTCTCTCTCTCTCGCACTCTTCGATCACACAGGATCGTTACAACTGTAAACGCAGCAGGCCGGGCGGCACTTTCACTTTCCACTCCACTCTCTACACTTCTTGGCCAAAAAAGGCACTGAAAGAGCCTCAACCGCTCTTAGCCTAATGAGCTGCTTTACCTGCCCATTAGAATGCGAGGCCAACAAATTAGTTGGAAAACTCAGGCAAATCGATTTGATATCGATAGCCATGCCACAACGTGTTGCAAGTAGCCAGCCAGCGCACATGAGTTACGAGCTCAAGAACTCGCTGGCCTCATCAAATTACAGAGCGGCAGTGGGAGCGGCAGCGGGAGCGGAGGCAGGGGCTAGGCCTAGTTGTAGTCGAGGCGTTTAACACAGCAGTCAAAATGCGCAGCAGGTTGCATGCCCCTGCCCAGTGTCTGTGCCGCTGCCTCGGCCTCGCTGCTCTTGCCACATTTCTGTCTGTTGTGGTTTTTTGTATTTTTGTGTTTTTTACTCTTTTGTGTTGTTGCTGCTGTTGTTGTTGTTGTTGTTGTTGCTGTTGTTGTTTATCAGACGCTGGTGGTCCCATCCGCATAGCAGCCAAATTTTTGATTTATATAGCCCGAATGTGCACCTTTTGAGTCGTCTGCTGATGCTGCTGCTGCTGCTGCTGCTGCTGCTGGTGATGCTGCTGCTTGTGCCGCCGTCCCCTCGTCTAAATTTAGCGTCCGCTGTTGTTCACACCTCGCTGGCCGCAGCTAAACAGCTACAGACAGCGACAAATTCGTTACATGCCCCCCGGGCGGCGTTACCTGCCTCGCAACACCTTCGCATTGTTTAACAGCAAAATGCAATAATTGTACGTAATCCCCAAGTGCCCCATCCTGGGACACGGACACAGATCGCGTCGTGTCTTAGCGCCTGCGCCCTGCCCCTCCACTGATTCGCACCGTGGCACTGCACTGCCGAGCATCGCTTGTTGCGTATTGACAACAATCAAGTGTTTAGATTTTGCATTTTCATGTCCAGGCTCTCAAGGCAGTTGCCTCAGCCCCAACCGCTGCCTCTGCCTCTGCCTCGCTGCTGCTGTTTGCATTTTGTAAGCATTAATTTTAGAAAACGATCCTCAATGCTGGCATGACTTTGGCCTACGTACTGTCAGATCCATGCATCTGCAAGTGCTGCCTGCGTGGGACTCTCTCGAATGCTTTAAGGCTCCTGCCTCTGAAGTGCTGCTGCCAGCATTGCGACTCGATTCTTGCTATTCATTCAGCCGGGAATTGCATTGATCTTGGACAACGAGAAGAAAGAAGAAATGTTAAAATATTTATTATTATTTACTATGAATACTATTAAATATTATACAATATACTATTAAATATTTATTGCTACATGATATTGTTATTTAATGAACTGGGTCTCCATATGAGTCTTGAGTTTAGTGAATGCTTTGACTTCAATGACTTTAAATAATATTCATATATTTTAGAATAAATATATTTATATTTAATCGAACATACTATGTGTTTAAATATTATTACAGATTCAGTATTATATGCATATGTTATATTATATATTATCTGAATAGTGTGTCTCAAGTTGATATTTGAGTTTTAAGAATGCATTGAAGATGTGTTTTTATGTATTAAAAATAATCTTATTTTATATATTAAGAATAATCTTAAATCTAATGAAAAAAACACCTCAATAATTCTCTGCTTAATCAAATTAAAAATTAAACATTATATCAATTGAAAATTTAAGCATAATCAGGCAGTGAATGGCGAATATATAGGCATGGCGAACCACCCACCCACCCACTCCCACGTCTACTCCCACTCCCCGCGTCAGCAACATGCAACATTGTGGCACAGACCGCAGTCAGAGGCCGAGCCGCACAGCTCAAGCCCAGAGACTCAATGCGGAATGACCTGTGTTTGGCTTAGATTTCGATACGGCTGATGTTGGTGGTTGCTGCGATGACACTGTCCCACCGCTGGGCTGCTGCTGCTGCTGGTGGTGGTGGTGGTGGTGGTGGCGTGAGGGGTGGGGCAAACTCAATCTGGATGCGAATGCGAATGGTTTACGCTCCATATGCCACGTGCGTAGACAAAAGTCATCTAAAAATTGAAGACATTGCCGTGGCAAAGCGACGGCCGAATGTAAAACCAAGTCAAATTCCTGGTATAAAATTCATTGAAAAATTTTATGCAACATAAATTTTGCGTGCAGGATTTGGAACAGCCGCCTGCTGGCCGACGACTCAATCACATGCAAGTGGGCCGAATGGGGGCTGCCTGGCCTCTGTGTGTGGCTGTGGCTCTGGTTGTGGCTGTGCCTTTTGGTGTGGGCGAGCTCGGTGCGTGTGTCATTTCAATTTTAAAGCCAACAAGCACCAAAAAACAAAAAAAAAAAATGAAGAAAAAACAACATGAAGTAGCAGCAAAAGAGGCAACAAAAACCGCCCTCGAACCGCTTAAGAAGCAACTCCTGGGCAGGGCGCAAACATTTTGGGTCCTGTCCTTGTGTCCTGGCCGGTCGCTGGGCCTTTGTCGTTGTTGGTTTTTATAGCTTTTTGATTTGCCATTTCTGGTGGCAAATGATCAAAAATTGAATGAAATTGTTATTTTTCAAGTGGAACATGTCCTTTTTTAGTGCCTGCCACACGCTGGAGGGGGAGGGGCTGGTGGACGGAGAGGACTTGTACTTGTACTCGTGTCCTGTGTTGCGGGTTGTTATCCTTAATAAGGGGCATCACGTCTTTGCATGCAGCATGCGCTGCACTTACCAAACATCCACATCCACATTCACATGCTCATCATCATCGTCATCGTCATCGTCATCATCATCATTATCGTGGACATCATCGTCATCATCATTATCTGGCATGTCGCTGCTTCTGCACTCCTTTTGGGGAAAATTGAAAAATTTCCAAGCGATAAAATTTTATCATACGCAACGACAAATGGGTCCAAAGGATTTTGCCTGTGCAGGTGGAGCATGGGCGTGGCACTCGACATTTGCCGACTGTAAAAATAAAATAATTAAAATATTTGCCCAAATTATATATATGTATGTATGTATGTGTGTGTGTGTGTGTGTGTGAAGTGCCTGTTCCTGGTTGCCAAAGGCAGCTGCAAAAGGCAAAGACACTTGCCACACATGTAGACTAGCTTGAGCACATGGAAATCCGCTCGCCGTCTTGCCACAAATATTAATTATGAATTTATGTGCCAATATTTATTAGCAATAAAGCCAAGCAGGCGACCAGCTCGGCCCGCAGCAACCCTCCGATATTAGACGCTCTGAGGCGTCCCTAATGAACTTTTATTATCAGGCCGATGCGTCAAGCGAGGGCGAGAGCGAGTTGTGGAAGGCACACATGTGGCATGCAACATGACGAGGCCCGGCACAGCCCAACCGAGCTGCTTATCGAGCACTTATTAAACCACTTTCGTCAGTGCGCACAGACCAAGTTACTCACGATGCCCGTAGAGTTTTCTTAGTTTCAGAGAACATCTGTCTGATTAGATAAAATGTGTGGGGGAAATGATCTAAAGATTGCTTGAGCAACAATCAAATCGAGGCATGAATCGTTGCCTATATGATTCAGACTGATTTTGTATAAGATCGCAATTAAGTTAATGGTCCAAGCCAAGTCCAAGCATGAATCACCTGCATTTTAATCACATCAACATCGCAAACTAAAAGCAGCTGAGCTGTCGATGCAAATAAGTCTATGACCACATATACAAATGAATATACATATGTATCCTTTGCCAAGTTACAGCTACTTACCAATGTTGTCCTATTGTCCTGATCACCTGCTTAGTTCTCGCTTTAAGCACTCCGCGCACCTCCTCTAGCCACAGCTGCGACAGTTCGTCTCCTGAAAGCAAACAAGGGTGGGGGGCAATCCAAAGTAAGGTTAGGGCATCGACTAGTCAAGTGTTTCATCAAATTTTATGAAACGAAAATAAATATATAAAAAAGAAAAAAAAAAAACGTAGCAATTTTTAATTGCTCCCGTTTGAAGTTGCCTAAGCGATTCGAGGGTGGGGCATGGGGCTGGATCGGTAAGCGGGGCCTGGCCAACATTTAGCGTATGTGTGAGTGCGTGTGCGTGTGTGTGTGTGTGAGTGGATTTTTATTGTATTTTGTGTGGCGGCCGCTTGGCCGGCTTGTTGGCCATGTTTTATGAGTTTCGTTTCCATTGAAAACCCCAAAGAGCCGAAAGAAACAAAAATTATTTGTAAACGGCGGCTGTGACAATTTTGTTTTTGTTTTTGTTTTTGCCTTTTTTGTTGTTGTTGTTTTCTGTCTCTGTTGGCGTTCCGTGGAAGTTTGTAGACGTCGCCACTAAAACAAAACAAAACCAAACCGAAAAACCAAAAACAAAAATTAATTGGAAATTTTTATGTCTCAAACATGTTGTAAGCGCGGCAGCAGCACAGCCGCAGCAACAAGGCGCAAGTTCGAGGTTAATTGTTTGATTTTCTAACAACGAAAATATAAAAAATAAATATAAATAATTTTTAAGGCCAATCTCAAGAGGAAAGCGCTACCTGTAGCCCACAGGAAATGTTTGGCTTTTTTTTTGGTTTTTGATATATATATACATATATATATATATATATATGTTTTTTTGTTACAAATTTCTCGAGTCGCGTTTCCGGGCCGAGCCGGGCCGAGCGCTTCATTGTAAGCGGCAAGTGGCAACTGGAATTTATGGCCTACATGCCGCAAATTAATGGCACACAAAATTGTTAGGCCATTGCCAGAGAGTTGACAGAAATATGTATATGTATGTATGTACATATTTGCCAGGCTCATGCAGATCTGCGACCCACGGCTTACTCACCAATTTGATATGCGCACATCCGAAACTCTTTCGTCTGTCAACTTTTCACTTGAATCATTGACGGCAGAAAGCGCTTTTCGATTTGTTTACTGAGTCGATACATGTGCGGAGCATTGGGTGTGCGGCATGCAAAAGATAGCGCAACTGCCTCACTCGATATTCACTTTGTGACGTCAAGAAGGCGGCATTATCTTTTAATCAATATTAGCTTTAAATATTTCATTGATATTACATCTAATGTAAATTAATTGAAAGTGAAAAATAATAGAATTATTTGAAATCGATATAAGCTAAATATATTTTTAAATTATATTATTAGTTTTTTTATTTATTTATTTAGTTATTTTTTTATGTCTTAATTTCGTAATAGAATTTGTTTCTCGTGTGAAGCTATGGAAACTAGAGGATCTCTTATGTGCTATAAAAATGCTTCTTTAATTTTAAATATTATATTATATAAAAAATAAAAAATAAAAATATAATATATATATATAAAAAAAAAAGAAGCCAATTATATATCATTCAAAATATAAAATAGTTTAATAAAATATAATACAAATTATGTAAATTAATAATATATTAATCTATTTTTGATTGTATATATTATTAAAAATTCTATTAATTATTTATTGCTTTAAATATAAATATTTTTTTTTATGTTATCTCTTTTTTTCTTTTTCTGATTAGGTCCACTAATTTATTTTTACGTATTTCGAACTACAACTAAGTTTTAATATATTTGAATTTATTTAATCTTTTTTCAAGCTAACAATAAAAAAACTGTTATATAATTGTAAAAAAAATATATATATTTATAATGCATTTTTTATAAAGAAGTGCGAATTTATATTTTTATTTTATTGCAATTATTTTTCGTTCTAATTCCACTTCAGTCACAGTTTCTTACTCCCAAAAAGTGTCATCTCTTTGTCTAGATGGAATGGAAACAAATCATTTTCCAATAAGCTGCGATAATGATGGGCTTTTCTATCGGGTTGGCAGCACTACAATCGATTGGGCGTCCCTTTCTGAATCTATATAATCGAACTGGAAAAACCGTCGCAGCTCACAGCCAATGCAAGCTTTGAGAGAGTCGGTGCTCAATTCTGATTGTCCTAAAAAAAAAAAAAGTGTAGTTGTGTTTGTGAAATTTGATCAGCCTAGAATTTGAAGGTTTGGCGCGCCAGTTTATAGGTGTGAGGTAAGTTTACATATTTATTGCAATAATAACCCTTAAGTAAATATACACAATTTGCTAAGTTGGGCTTTGTTGATCGGTGGCTGACATATGCACACACACACATACATGTATATGTGTGTGTTCGTAGTCTTGGAAAAAAGAAGAATGTCTCAGCACGAGGCATTTGGTGAAACCAATTGGAAGCTTTATTTACAAGCGCACGCAATGCTCTATCATTGATATGCGATATGCAAAATTATTGGGCCGGGATAAACAGAAATGAAGTCAGTAGATCGATGCGTTTGTTTAGCGGAATATAGAGAGGAAAGCTGATTTTACTACATACATACATATGTACGTGTGTATAAGACAATGTGTGCGTGAGTGTGTGTGCGCATTAATTGCATGACTGTATGACTGTGACTGTGTCAATGTATGAGTGTGTGTGAGTGTGACTGTAGTGCCGTCAATTTAGCGTGCCAGCTTAATGGCGCCAATGTCTACGTGTGTGTGTGTGTGCGTGTGAGTGTGTTGTCTATTAGTGCATCATGATGCTGTTGCAACGCCAGGCCGTGCCTCGTCTTACAAGCTGAATCCGCATCCGAATCTGAATCCGAATCCGAATCCCTATGCCAATTGCAATTCCAGTCACCTCGTCTTGTCCCCTGTCAGCCAGTTTAGCCACGTGCGCTGCTTGGAAGGAGGAGGAGGAGTACGAGCCGGCGGCTTTCGGTGGTTTCCTGTCGCCAGTGGCTAAATGCTGCTCGGAGCACCCAAAAAGGCGACGAATACTCGATAGTCGGACAAGCTGATCAAACAGTTTAGCTATTTAGCATAAAGTGCTTTTGCTGCGCGAGTCCATCGATTGCCAGAGGCAAGAGAATCGCCTCCTCTTCAGTCAGAGGCGTTTTATTGTAGGAAACTTATTGGGAATCCGAATTGCCCTCTAGCTGAATTCGCTGAAGTATGCGAAAGTTTCGTGATCTGTCCTTCCACCTTTCTTCGCTGGAAAAGAAAAGCCTGCACTTAGATATTGGATTTCCAGTGAAAATAATTGACAGCTGCAATAAAATGATATTTGAGCCAAGGCGCACATTGAAGCAGCTTAAATAGATTGGATAATGGATCTAAATAGGGACTGAAGAAATCTAGTTCAATATAGACACACACAACATAATCTGGTCGGAATGCCCGATTGTTTATAGTGCAGGGTATCAAAGCGTTTCATGTTGCTTTTGTGAATGACTCGGAGTTGGTTTGGCTGCGTTGGGTTTCGTTGTCCGGCTGTCTGGTTGTCTGCTTGGCTGGCTGGCTGGCTGTTTGGCCGAGCCGTGGACCTCGCCAGCAGCTACTAGTTGTTGCGATTGTTTATTTAAGTTGCGCTCTTCCGGCTGCAGACTGGCTTTATGGTTATGGATACAGATACAGATACAGATACACACAGTAGCCAGGCAGTCAGGCAGGCCCAAACAGAGACCAGACCTGTAGCTGTAGCTGTAGCTGAGACTGGCTGTGGCTGGACAGAGAGCAACAGTAGCAATGAATTTGCATGTAGTACATGAAAACCGTGATCTCCAATTTGTTGACTCTTTCGCTGTTGGCTGCAGCCAGTCGAATAAAGTGGAGTCGCAGCCCATCGCTGTGCTGGCGAATTGAATCGCATACAGGGCTCCGATCTGGGAGCACCGTACTTGGGCTACATGCCAAAAAGTTTGTAACATTATTTTAAGGTGCCGGCTGGGGATTGCCGTGCCGCAGCCCCCACCCCACCGCCCCTGCTGCTTGCTGCTTGCTGCTTGTCTCGTTGCAAGTTGTCAAGCTTGCCATGGCAAATTTGCGATCAAGCGACAACAACAGTGACAACATGGGCCCACTGACGACCAGCCCCAATCCTTCTGCTGCCCAGCAGCCTGCCGTGAACTGTGAGCTGTGAGCTGGGCTTCTTAGGTTTCAACTGTGTACATCACGCTGCCTTGTATCGAGCCAAGTGCCACAGTCGCACAGCCGATCCTCGTCTGTTCGCTGTCTCCGGCGACCATCCAGCGCCCTGCCATCTGCCAGCGGTGACTCCCTAGCGCGTGAGGCACCCAGTCAGCGACTGGGCCGAACTTTATTGACCATATTGATTGCTGCTGTATTGATCGCTTGTAACTGATAACAAACAAATGGCCAGCCTGCCAGCCAGCACAGTTGGATGTTTCACACACCAAGCCACTCACCCAGCCCGCGATCTCTTCCCTGTTGATGGTGCGCACCTCGCTGCGATGATTACACGAGCTTACACGCTGCACTCCAAAGCGTGATAAGCCTATTCACACTCTGCAGGAAACTGCTCTTTGTTGCTGGGGCTCAAGGCTAGCTTTGACCTATCCTCATGTTGAGTTACTTGTCCCTCTAATCGTTCAATTTTTATTTTCACTATATATTGTATATGTCTATACATAAATAATATTTATTTGGGGAATTTTTGTATCTTATATATTTATTTAATATATATTTAACTACATTTATAAAAAAAAGAATACATTTAAAATAAATAAATGAAATACGTAGTAATAAATAATAAAAATATATAAGATTAAATAAAAAATACGAAAAGTATACATAAAAAATCAAAATTTAAATAGACTGTAAAATAAAAAATTCGTCAATAATAAAAAATAAAGGAAAATAAATATAAATAAAAATGAAATGAAAAAATTGTAAAAAAAAAAAAAAAAAAAAATAAATAAAAAACGTTAAATGTAAGAACATAAATGAATAATCAAATAAAAAATATAGTCAAAAAATAAAATATTAAAAATTATAAATAGATAACAAAATAAAAATTATACAAAATCGAATTAAAATATTTATATACGAAGTTTCAAATATGCATATCATATAGGAACCATTTACAATTATCACGTTTTTAGGTAATTCTCACGCTTAGAGACTTATATGTCTAACTGCAAATTTAGGTATTGTCTTTTGGTTAACTAGCATATCGATATATCGCATAAAATCTGAATCTTCTGAGCTAACTCGAAGCTTTGTTCAAGATAGACTTAATAATAGCTATCTGCTTAACATATGTCTCGCTCTCTTTCTCTCTCTCTGTCTCTTTTTTCGGCTAAGCCTGTATTCCGTCAACGTGTAAACGTGGCCCAAACGTCTACTGATGGCTCTGAAACAGCGGGCGGTGTCTGTTGGCTGCCGTTTGTTGTTGTTTTTGTTGTTGCTGCTGCTGCTGCTGCTGCCTGTGTTGGCCGACTGTCCGAGGCGTTTGCATATTCATAATTTCGAGCCGGACTTATCAATTGCTCATCTCGGTCATGAAAATGCATAAACATTTCAAAGCGCTTGGCGCGGGTCAATAATTTGACATGAACGAAACAATACGCAGAAACAGGCATAAATAACGCGGAGGCTCAGTGGCTCAGTGGTTTCTGGCTGCCTTCAAGTTGGCAGCAGTCGTTTTTAATTTCACATCACCTGCCGTGAGTCGAACAGCCCCGCTCGCTCATCCCCCAGCATCAGCCACCTGCATGCTCCTTCGATGATGTGTGAATAATTGAAAGCTGCTGCTGCTGCTGCTGCCACCGCACTGGGGGCGTTCGAGCTGAGCCGACTGAGCGACTTGTCTACAAACAACAGGCTAGCAAACACTAGACTCCATTCCGCTGAAGAGCGCTGCGCATAGATCAAGAGCAATAGCAGGTAGCGCCTCACAGGGAGAGAGCGAGATTGACTGACTGAGTGAGAGAGATGAAGAGTGAGGGAGAGTGGGACTGAGGGAGAGAAAGGTGACTGGTTGACTTGCAATATCACCAAGTGCCCTTTTCCTTGGAATTTCATTTCGTTGTTGTTGTCAACATGACACCCACACACCCTCACACACACACACACACACACACACTCGCGCACATTTAGCGACTTCGAGTTGATGCCAAAATGAAGAGCTGCAAAGCTTGTTGGCCATCCGCCTGTTCTGGCCCACGCCCACATGCCAACACATTTGATTTTTAGCCATGGCCATTAAATGCGCAGCACCAGCAGCAGGAGTCGAGCTGGCAATTTTGTAATTAATTTATTGCCTCGGGCGGCGGGCGCATCAAGAAAATTGTCGCAACTCGCGAAGTGTCAAAACTATTTTTAATTGGGGAATGTCCGACGTGCGAGTCGCAATATGGAAATATGCACATGTACATATGTATGTATGTATGTATGTATGTATATACAGAGAGAGAAAGATCTGCTTCCAGCGATCGTAAAGTTGGCAAAGATCAAAGTGCTTTTTTGGAGTGCTTTCGCATCTATTTTTGCGCTTTAATTGATATGCTTCTTGTCACTAGGCGCTCTCCCTCTCTCTCTCTCTCACTCTCTCTCTCTCTCTCTCTTTCTCTTTGTCTGTGGCTGTTGTGTCTGGCTATATGACTAATGCACCACTCAATAGACACTAAAGATGCATTACGATGCAGCTACCCCGCCGCTGCCGCCGCCGCCAGTCAGCGACTGCAACTGGCGGCAATTGCATTTTAATGCAAATTTGGTGTCAACGCAATATCGACCATGACAGCGCCAGCGCCAGAGTCGCCACAGGGAGCGGGACCCAGAGGAGCAGGAGGCGGAGCAGCAGCAGCAACAGCAGCAGCCGCAGTCGAAGCATGGCCAGGCGATCAACGTATGCCCGATCTTTGGTTCTTAACGCTCACGCATTTGGAGTTGCAGCAGTGCGTTGTAAGTGGCAGCTCGCAGCAACTGCAGCAACTGTGGCAACTGCTCTTGGTGTTAAAGTGACTGATTAAGTTCTGTATTGTTGTTGTTGCTGTTGCTGCTGCTGCTGACGCTAAACGAATTATACGCTTACGTAGGTGGCAGACACTTAGGCACAGGCACAGGCAGTCCCAGTCCCAGTCCCAGGCACAATCCCAGCCAGAGTCTGTGGCAAAGTCCAAAGATAGAGACCGGTGCCGTGTACACCCGTTGCTATAATCATATATAGAGCCAAATGAATTGAGACGCGCCACACAGGGTTATAA